CTGAGCCTGCAAACTGCAGCTCACTGAGCTCAGCTTCCTTTCAGAGAAGGCATCCAGGTGCCCTGTGCCATTTGGGACCCTGGGAATTTGAACTAGCTGAGCTAATAGAAAATGCTGTTTCGCTTTCCTAGATGATGCAAAAGAAAAGGGAAGGATTCCTGGTTTGTTTGTTTGCTTTTGGTTTTTTTCCCTTCTAACCTGTTTGAGGGAAGGTGACAAACACCAGAGGAGGAGGAGACAGGGGTACCTACCCCAGCTAAAATTAACTATCTTTAAAAAAAAATAATTTAAAAAGCTTTTCCCTATAAAAAAACCTGTTAGACACCAGCAACAACAACAACACATTTCACACAGGGTCACTGTGGTTGAAAAAAACCCTGTTTTTTAAACATCAGCCAGCTCTAGTTTTAACCTTATTATTTCTCTCTCCTGAAGTTCCCAACCCCATCCCCTGCTGGGAACTGAGTCATGCTCTGTTGCTGAGCTCTCCTCTCACAGCTCACAGCTTTTTCTGGCCATTCTGTTCCCCATTCTGAAGTTCACTAACCCACCTCCAAAACTTAGGGCATCAGCTGAAAAACAGCACATTTCAAAGCTGACTCCCCTGCTCTGTAGCAAAACAGTGATTATAATGGCCTTGTCACTGACAGGCATGTGGGCTGTCTCCCTCACGGGTACCCTGATGACACAATCTAGTATTAAGAAACCTTTTCATCCCCATCTTCCCTCTTCCTCTGCTCTGCTGCCTCTGGGAGCCATGGCTGGGGCTGGAACAGCCTGTTTCTGACGTGCCTCTTATGGAACAATCAGAAAGGCATTTGTGTCCTTACTCTTCCTTCCTTTTGGCTTAAGTCCCTCTCAAGCATCTCCATAGTTACCTCTTCATCAGTCTGCAGAGTCCTGGCTGCCTGTGTGTAACCATCTCACCAGCAGCTCTCACTGCCTGCAACAACCTCCCTCCATCCACTTCCTGCCACCTCCTTCCATCTGAAGAGATCCAGCTGCTCCCTTCTCTCCTCATTCCTTTCTTACACTGGTTCTGTGACTGAATGTTGTAATTCATCCACCAGACAATGTGTCCACTTCTCTGCTTCACCTACTCTATTCCATCTATCCCTTGATGGGCTGCATTGGTTTCCAGTTGTGTGTTACAGTTTGATGTGAGAGTGGCTCTGCACAACTCTTTTGTTCTGGGTAATCCTTCCATTACCTCACAGTGTGTGTTTGGTTCTTTCCTGGAAACTTGCAGCCTAGAGGATTAAATGAGAAGTCTAATTCAAGGCTTTTGCAGTACATTTCTGGTTCTCATAGAGTCAAAGGCCACTAGATAATAAATGAAATGAACCAGACAGACTGAGGAGCTGCAGCCCTCAAAAGCATATTTACTGCAGACCTAAAACCAAACACTGTGATTACTGAAGTTTTATATTCATAGATGACAGTTTGAGTTTAGCCCCTGTGAAATGCACCACTAAACCCCTGCTAATCCCTCTGAGATTATCAGTCACTTCAGTATCTCAGCTCACTTGGCAGATCTAACCATTAAATGAGAAGTGCACGTTAAACAGGATTGTTGTTGTTTTGTTGTTTGCTTTTCACAGCATCTGAGCATTTAAAATTCTCCCTCTGTTGTGCAAATGTGAGGAGTCACATGGTGCAAGGGACCCTTTCTGGGCATGTTTTTCCCCAAACTGAGAAGATCAAGAACAACTCAGCTGGCTGAATCTTCCCCCTCAGGGGCTGCTCTAGAGATCACTTTGCTTTAGGCTGTGGTTGCTATTTCCAAACTTTTCAGCTGCCACTCTCCCTCCAGGTGCCTCCTGAGGCTGTTCAAAACGGCTTTAAATAGGCCTTGGAGGACTCAGTGTCTTCATCTGCGTGTGTGTTCACACAGGCAGGAGCTGGGACTGACCCAGTGATGCTGCAGAGCTCAGGGCTTGTTTCTGTCCTGCCATTTTTTCTTACCCAAAAGCTGCCAGTGCCCATGGGCATTTGCCAGTCCTTCTCCTGCCTAACCAGTCTCCCATTTCTGGGAGCTCCTGTGCAGTTCCTTGCCAGCTAGAGCTTCACAGCATTCCTGGAACCCTTGGGAGAGCACCTGGCCCAGCTGGAATTGTGACTGCTGAGCCTGAAGGCCACATCTCTTCTGCCCTCTCCCTGGCAGCCCCCAGCCCTGCTCTGCTGCCCTGCTCTGCTGGGAACAACGTGGCTCAGGGCTGTGTTCCCTCAGTCTCTGACTTCTAAACAATGAACTGTTTCACTTTTTCTACTGCTGCTAAAGGAGCAGCATTTCAGTAACAGTTCGTAGCTGCCTCTGCTTTCACTTTCTAGGGTTGGGAAGTGGGAGGTGTAGTCCTGCAGCCCCAGCAAACACTGCTCCCTGGCAGTGCATCTGTGCTGCAAACAGAGCACAGGGAGAGAGGAACTCCAGCGTTATCTGAATTACAAAGTCATTCCATTGTCAAGCCTTTAAAGTGTCAAATACTTTTCTAAAACCAAAGGCTGTGACATTCACTGAAGAACAGCATCATTTCAAAGTCAGGAGGGTCTATTCTTAGCACATCAGTCAAAAAGAGAAAAACCAGGAGTCTTTGGGAGGAAAAAAAACCCTAAACAATTTTACCAAAATGAACCTTGTCAGAAATGATCAATTCCTCTTCCATTCAGACTGACCTGGTCCTTGCAACAAGCCAGAGGACAAAATGTGATGACACAGCACCATAAATTAGGATTGCTGGATCTCCTTGCAATTAATTTATCTTGCAGTGCAGTTTTGGCAAAGAATAATTTATCTTCAAGGTGATTAAATCACTGATAGTTTGGTTTGGGATTTTTTTTTTTTTCCTTTTGAAGGAACATTTCTCCTCAGTCAGTTGAAGAATAGATGCTGATGAGCAGCAGCCTCCTCCTGGATCTTATTCATGCTATTTAAATACCTCTTCCTGTTAGACCAGTGCCTCCTCAGCAGCTAAGAAGAGACAGTTAAGACTGAGCACATCAGGACCCAGAGGGACCCCAGGGCTGAGCTGCCTTGTCCTGTTTTCTGGGATGCAGCCCCTCAGAAGCCCCCTCGGGGCAGGAGAGACCAGGTCTGCTCACCCCCTGACTGTCAACTCAGAATTTCCCATCTGGGGCTTTCCTGGAGAAGCTGAGCAAATGTCTTTGTGTTTAAATTGGATGGGGACAGAGTTTCAACTATTACTAAAACTTCCCAATTCTGAAGAAGTGATTCAATTCACTGGAGGATGGTGCTGGGACAAATGTGCTATCAAAGCAGGTTCTTAATGTCCTGCCCATCTCCAGAGAAGCTGTCATTAATGTGCTTCTGTCTCTTTCTTCTCCTTGGTATTCAAGCAGTGATGATCATGTGCAAATTACTCACACTTCTGACTTGAGAAAACTTTCTTAGCCCAGAAATTCATCCAATATCAAGGGAATTAGAAATTCAAATGGGGGGGAAATTATACACTGTGTGTCAATGCAGCAAACCTCACAAAAGCTGCCATCAGTCACCCTGGCACCCAAGGTGCTGCTGCATGTTCTTGTCACCAAGTCAATCATAGTCCAACAAATAAAGGAAAAGGTGGATAAGAACAAAAACTTTGGGTTTGCTGCCTCGTCTGAGAGCACAGACCTGGAGTCAGTTCTGGAGCTTCTTTGTCTGTGGACCCTGGTTGTGCCCAGATCTTGTTTGCCTGTTTGCCTTCCCTGGCCACCTGCAGCCCAGGCTCTGCCCCTCACTGTGCTTTTGGGCCATTTCAGCAGAACAAGGGCTTTTTCTCTAAGTCTTTGGTTATTTCTGTGGGGTTTTGCACCCTGTCCCATAAAAACTCTGCACCAGCCCTGCATGGACACCTGGCACCTCCCTCCTGGAGTTCTTTCCAGACCCCTTCAGCCTGGGGCAGCCTCACGAGGGGCAACCCCCTCTGCAAACCATCTGCATTCGTTAAAGGAACTGAATGATCTGTCCTGCTTTCCCATTGCCTGGCTGCTGACTGGAGGGTGGGTGGTGCCCAGTGCACTTCCATTATGGTACCTTTAGCATTTTAGTCTATATTAAGTTGTCTGACTTGTCAGATAAACAGCTCTCCCCCAGAAACACCTGCCAAAATGATAGCAGCTGGCTGTTGCACATGTATGATGCTGAACCTGGTGCAGGGATGTGTGCAGCCCAGCAGTGAGTTAGAGAGACTGCAGCTCATTCTGACATGATTCTGTCTCTGCTACTCTCCTTTTGTGTTTTGACTGCCAGATTTTGTGGTTTTGTAGGTCTTGCAATCTCAGCTCTCTGCTGTCAGCTCCCTGAGATGCAGGAAGCAGGCACAGCCCAGATGCTTGCCTGAAGCAGAAATAGCACATCTTTCTACTACCCTTCTCCATCAGGCCCCTTGAGTCTTGAATTTCTGGCAGACAATGTTCTACAGGGGGGAAAAAACCCAGACCCTTAGTTTGCAGTTGTTGTAAAACCTGGTTCTGGTTTTGGTGTAGTTTAGCAGTTTAGAGAATAAATCTGTTACACTTCAGCAGTGAGTCAGTGCACTCATACTGGTAAGAACTGTCCAGGTTTTGGACTGATCAGAAATCCCCTGACTTTTCCAGAGGCCTGAGTGTATCTCCAGTGTTTTGTGTCTGGTACAGCTGGGAGGGGGGGTGTGTACCCACTGGTGAGGGGATGTTTCGGGAGGGGTGTTTTCAAAACTCTGTGGCAGAGGGAGGACAGCAGCCAGAAAGATCAAGAGATCCTGTTAATGCCTCAAGGCTTGATGTGTATGTGTGTCCCTCTGCCTGGAGTGCAGCCCCAGCCCTGCTGCTGTGCTCATCCCCAGCCCAGGGAGCAGCCCCAGCACAGGGAGCAGCCTGGGCTATGCTGGTGCTTGTGGGGCTGCTGGAGGCTGGGGAGAGGAGGGCAGGTGCCTTCTGCAGTGCTCAGGGTTGTCCCCGGTGTCCCAGCAGCCCCTGGCAGAGCCAGCTGGGGAGGAGGTGGCTGTGGCCCCACTTACCTTCTGTGCCCTGCGCTTGTCAGCCCTCTGGTTCTGGTGGTAGATGCGGCTGAAGTTGGAGACGATGACGGGGACGGGCAGAGCAATGACCAGCACCCCGCTCAGGGAGCAGATGGAGCCAAAGATCTTCCCAGCAATTGTCTTGGGCACCATGTCACCATAACTAGAGGGGGGGAAAAAAACACAGAAGGGAAGCCCCTCCTTCAGACAAGTGCACCAGCTCAAAAAGGCTTTTCCCGTTCCCTGAGCGCCCAGGTGAGCAACACCCAGAGGTGCCTGGGCCAGGACAGGGTCCTGGGGTGCTGTGACCCCAGAGGGGACAGCTGACACCGTGCTTGAGCAGGGCATTAAGCTAAAGCAAGGAAAGGTACTTTTGTTGCAGAGAGATGAGCCTGTGCAGGCACCTGCTGAGCTTGTGCAGCTCCTGGCCCTGCTGCCCCCTGCCCAGGAGCTCAGACCCCCCTGCAGCTGAAGGGCTGCTCAGCAGCAGCTTCATGGCTTTCCATCCCCTGGTACCCAGCTGCAAACGAGGACTGATTGACTCTTCCACTCCCAACCCCAGCAATTTCTATGCCATCTGTACAGTCAGAAATTTGGGGTATATTCCAAGTCTGGTCTCAACCAGAGGTGAATTCCCAGGAACACGAGACCAGCTGGAACAGGTTCATTTGTGCCTCAGACAACCCCTGTGCTGCACCCCGGGTGACTGGATCTCTCAGTTCTGGCCAACCACACCAGGATCCCCCATCCCACAGCTCAGCTGCTGGCCCTGGGCACTGCCTGGGCTGTTCTCTTTGCCCTCTAGAAGTGATTTCAGTGCTTTCTGCTGCAAATGGCTGTAGGGCAAACAAAACCCCATCCAGGAAGCTGGATGTGGATTGTGGGGTGTTGAGGTTGTGCAAAAAAAGCTCCCTTGTAGTTCATGCCCCTGGAGCAGACAGGGACAGGATTAGCTCAGCCACTGACTGAGTGTGCAGGCCCTGTTTCAGTGAGCCATTTATTACATGCTTGTGTGCAAATGTATATTATTATCAATATTCACTGAAGTAATTCTCATCTGGAGGGAAGAGAAAAGCAGGCAGCCAAATAACAGATTTAAAACCAAATCCCTGGTCTGGCAATGGCTTTGTGCAAAGCACTGGGGCAGGGGAGTTCCCAAAGCACCTCTTGTGCTTTGGACTCTGAAGTCCCACCAGAAACAGGTTTGTGTGATCTGCCTACACCCTGGGGTGGAAGAGAGGTCCTGGGCACTGCAGCCTGCTGAGGTTGTCACTGCACAGGGAAAGGATGCTAAAATCAACACCTGGGCCTAAGGAAGACATCCCATGTTTTGGGGTGCTTGACATGTGGAGAGTCCCTGAGCTGCTCTCAGAGGGTGTTTGGGATTTCTGTCCTCTTCCTTGGCAAGTTCTGGTGTTTGATGCAGCAAATGCTGAAAAGCAAAATTGTTTACACTTGAGGCTTTATTTTTGCCACTGATGTCTGCATGTGACATCACATAATGTCTGCTGGGCTGTCACACTTGCTCAGTCTCATGCTCAGTGACAGCTTTTCTTCAGCAGTTCCAGGCTTTTGGGTTTGTTTTGGTGTAAATGCTTCAGGCTTCACTAGCTAAGGCTTAATTATCCTGAGCAGAATCCTCCTTCTGCCTTCACCTGCATTAAAACCCCTCAGAATATCTCAAATCAATAAAATGCTATTTATGCCTATTAGCTTTTTAGCCTCTGCTTTATGCAGAGGTAGTTTAAAACCTCTCACTAAGTGACAAGGTCTTCTGCCTCATTTAACACTGTTCTGAAAAATACAAAATCTTTCTTTTCTCCTGCTGCCTCTTAATAAAATAAGGCTGCAAATTAATTATCTGCCTCAAACGTGATCTCAGTGACCTGGAGCACTGAGAGAAAGCCCTTCAGTGTGTTGTGGGAAGTACAGTAATAAGTGTCTGGCTCAGTCTGTCTTGGAGAGTTTTATTCTTGCACACAGGCTGAGAGTTACCTCATTGCTTGGGACTTCAGAGAAGGAGCTTTAAAACACCACTAGGGAGGATCAAAGTGTCTTGGAGCACAGAGGGCTTTGCTGGGCAGTTGTAGAGACCTTGATTTGCAGAACATTTATGAGAGATTCTGTGATGAGAAGTTTTGCCCTGGCTGGATCAGACTGCACAGGAACAAGACCAAAAGCTTGTACCTGTGACTTCTGGGTCCTGCAGTTCCCGTGGGGACAAGACCCTGGATCCTGCAGGCACCTTGTGCCCATGGAGCCCTGTTCCCTGCCTCCCCTGGGCTGACCCCTGGGGTGGGTGGGTTGGAAGTGATCAGAGCTAAAACCCAGCTGGGATCTAGAGCTGCTTGCATGGCAGGAGGGGCCTCCCCCTTGACTGTCCATGCTGGGGTTTGGAACGAACCTGCAGTTGTTCTGCCATTGGCACCTGCAGCTGCTGCAGTTTTAATTGCTGGAGTGACTGTTTTTCTCTTGAGGTACTAATGACCACATGGCATATTTCTAACAGACACAATGCCAAATCATCTCAAATATTGGATTTCAGTTAGTGCTAATTGGGCATTTGAAACCCAAAACTCTTTTCCCCAGACTGGAAGGAGAGAACTCAACTTTCCCATTAATGTTTAGTAAAAGGCAAATTGTCACCTAAAAAATTTCTTCTACAGAAAGTGCATTTTAAGTAATTTATCAGTAATCTCATTAGAGCAGCAAGAAGATAGAAGAGTTAGGTAATGATTAACATTCAGAGGGTCTAATGGGATCTTTGAGCCTGTAATAAAACAACAGGAGGCTATGAATTCCTTAGACTTTGAATGTGACCTCTAGTAAAATCCTTCCAGCTTTCTGAACCTCAGCTCCCCAGTTCTGAAACAGCAACTGGTTGCTTTTCCTTTGCCTGCTGGGGTGAGGAGGTGCTGGGCTCCCCAGGGCAGGGGCTGTCACAGCTGCTAAATGCACCCAACCCCCAGCAGGGCCCCAGCTCTGCTGGGTCACCAGCACTACTAGTGCCAAGTGGTTCTGTGGAAACCTGGGGTCAGTGCAGCCTGTGATGTCCAGTTCAATTAAAGCCTTCAACAGACAAAGCATGAAAAAAAAAAATCAAAATAGAAAATTACTTGAAAGTGGTTACTGTTCAGACTGGAAAAGCCTGAGTGCAGGATTTCAGTGTTGTGGGGTTTCGGTTTTTTAATTTGTATGGTGATTTCTGTGTTCTTTCAATGCAAATGGGGTCATAAGTCACTCACCCTAATTAGCAGCTATTAGCCTTGACAGCATAATGTGCTGCTGGTTTTCTGTCTGTCAGGACAGAAATTGTGATCAAGTAGAGGTCACTGCTTCTGAGATCTGGTTCCAGCAGCAAAAGTGTCTGGACACTGCTCAGCTCCCAGCTGGAGACAGCAATAAATAAGGTGCTGAACAGCTCATCAAGTGACTTGCTCTAAAAATAGACTCTCAGCAGCATCTCTGAGGATCCTGTCTCCCCTTGCAGCACTCGCAGCCCTAGGAACAGGGATTGTAGCCACAAAGCTGGAAGGTCCTGTGGGACAGGGCCAAGGGAAGGTGCTCAGCAGCAACACCTCCCTGGGGACAGGGAAGCAGCTTTTCAGAGGACACTCCTTTTCCAGCAGCCTTTTTATGTGCCAGCTTTCCAGCCAGTGGAAGGCACCTGGGGAGGGGCTCGTGGTGCACAAATTGCCACCGTTGCACAGCTCTTGTCTCCATGGGCTTCTCTAGATGCAGGGGAGGTCAGAGTGCAGCTGAAAAATGCTGCCCAGCACCTGCCCTGTTAGCAGCACCTCATCTGTCCTTGGACAGAGCATCAGGTCGTGCCTGGTGGTGCAAAACCTTGTGGTTTTCACACACAGCCTCTGAAAGCTGAAATACCTCCTGGAGGATGGGAACAGGAGCAATGCTGCTCCACATGGTTCAGTGTTTCTGGCTCAGACTGGCCCTGACAGCTCTTTGAGAGCTTCTTTATCTCTCTAACCTTTTGCACAGCGTAGTTAAAAGGAGATTTCACTCCAGCCTGTGAGCTTCTGCTTTTGGGACAATCGGGACAGAATAATGACATGATGTAGCCTACAATAGAACATGATTTTGAAAGCCTTTTGCACCAAAGAGAGAGAATTAGGCATGGAATTAGCATGTAGCTTTCCAGGTGCAAGAGATCCCTCTTTGTGCTGTAAGGAACTCACTATGCAATGGTTTCATTTGCACAGAGGAGAAAAAAAGGTCTCAAATTCAGCTGGAATGTTTCAGTTGCATTGCCAGACTGTGTGTGTTGCATCTGACAGCTCAGAGGAGCTCCTGTCCCTCCATGTAACAGGTACAAGTCCAATGTAATCATGCTAATGCTGCTTTGAACCCCAGGGAAATAATGATTGTGTCACTTCCAATGAAACTATGAAAACAAAAGCAAATATTATTCGTTCCTGTCTTGGATTTGCACATGACTGAAGAGCAGGGATTAGCAGCTGTGCTAAGGGGGCTGGGGACACTCAGAGCTTTTGGTTTGGGTGTAATTCATGGTTCCTCTGTTTCATCCTCCCTGCTGGAATTACCCCAGGAAAACCCACAGCTCCCTGGGGCACCAGGAGCTGCTGCTCCCCACTGGCTTTTCCTGCCCTCCTGGGCTTTATCCTGCCAAGTGTTTGTACCCCCAGGCGTGCAAAGATGCTGTTGCCTTTTCCAGCAGGTATTGAATTCCTGGGCACTGGGAGGCAGGAGGGGGCTTGGGAGGTGCCAGGCAGGGGTGTCCTCTGAGGGGCTGGACACAGAGTGACACAGCCCTGAGCATGGAGTGATCCTGAGGGCTGGAGGGGACTTTGTCAGGGGCTGGAGTTCTGGGCTCAGGACAGACAAGTCCACCTTCTGGCTGATTTTCCCATGTCCATGAGGGAGATGAAGTTGTTTTTGGAGCTGTCCCAGACAAGAGCTGTTCATTGGTTGATGCTGGTGTGATATTGTGAAAATACAGGAGAAGGTTTTTGGAAGTGTCCTGCAAACACAGGCCCAGTGACCCCTCTCCAAAAGGACAGTCTGGTATGTTCATCTCAGGTTTTTGAATGCCCTGATGCTGTAGGAGCAGGATGCTCTGAGTGCCTTGAGGAGCCTTGTGGTGCCTCCTGGAAGAGTGTGTGACCAGAGCCACGGTGGCCTTGG